TGAGTTTCAAGAACAGAGAGAAGACAATAACACGGCAAAATTTAAAATTCCGACAGTTTTCTTGTAGCAAACATCCCCTTAACCGTCGCGTCTGCTCTGCAAAAGACCGGAAATGATGAGTCATCTCTAGCGGTGGGCCAAGTCCTGGCAAAGGGTTTCGAGAAATTGACGTTTCCCGAAGGAACGTGTCGAGACTCTTCCAGAAAGGAATCGAGGGATATAAAAGACGATCGTCTCCAAGGAAGTTTAGTTTTTAGTTTGAATACGAGCTGTTACACTGCGACGAGAGAATTGTCACCTTATTTTAGTTATTTAATTGCATTACACTGCACTATTTTCGCTGATAAAATAATTGTTAAGTTTACCCACGCTGTTTTGAATATATTTCGAAAAAATCGTTACAATATTCTCGAAGTTTGAAAGGTGTTCTTTGTAAATTTTGCCTTTTGTTTGCTAAACATGGTGGTGTACACAAAAATACGCCTCTTAATAAATTTGTCGCGAAACCCCTTCAAAAATATTCCAATCTTTTTGAAAAAATGGTGACTTAATAACGCACGACAAAAGTAATTATCATAAAGAAGCAATGGTTTACAGTTTACGCTTTAAATTTCATTCGCACGTACGAAAATCCTGCAATGGGAACAGTAAATATTTTAGAAAGAAAACATCTCCAACAATTAAAAGAAAACAAAGAAAAAATCAAAATTGTAATAAAATCTGTTATACATTTGTGAAAACAAAACATTGCTTTATGTGGTCATCGTACCGAAGCGGAACTAATAGAATTTTGAAGCAAAGTCAAACTATATAAAATCCGTCTATTATTATAAGAATTCCATAGTCTTGTGAAACCGTAACATATAATCAGTGTTGGGGACAGATACTTTTAAAAATATCTTGATACAGATATAGATATATGGAAGATAAAATTATTTAGATACAGCTTGTTTTTTTTTTGGATTTTTTCGAAATGTATCTAGATAACAGATTCAAGAAAACAGATACTTTTTGAAGCTTTGGCGAATAAAATAACTGAAAACATGTTTATGTATTTTTGTATGTATTGTTTAATGAAATTTTTAAAATTAACATTTCAAACGTATTGTCACCCAAATTTTTTCTTCTTGGTGTCAGAATTTGGTTTCCGCTACTAAACACCCGTTCCACAGGCGCAGAAGAAGGGACTGTGGTATTAAATTTAAAAAATAAACATTTTACTGTAGCATAGTTATTCAAGACTGAAAAATCTTTTCTTTTTTCCTGCAAATAGGCCATCGCTTCGCTGTTTGATGTGTCGCAAATTGAGCAATATTTATTAGGAGCGCTTAAAAACAATATTTTTTTTTGTTTTATTCCCACACTACAGTGTCCAGATTGTGTTTGAGTATATCTAATAATAATTATCTCCAGCATTAAAATTAATATTTCAAAAGAATACAGGAAATGATTATTCTGTGCTGAAGGTCTGTTGTCGGCAACCTATCATAAATTATTATTCTTCAATATCGGCTTACGATGTTTTTATGACCACGTCCGGTAATCATCTATCCCGGTGCGGCAGGTATATACATTTTAGGAAGAATTGCTGGTTCCGTTTAAGACAAAATAAGTATAATTTCTTAGAAAGTTATTTAAACCCCTTTTATAGGATCAAAGGCTGCCAGGCAGGCCGGAATCACCAGAGTGCAACTTTACATTTCCAGAATTTTGTTGAAACTCATTTTATTTTAATCTCGTTTCACGATTTCTGAGAATATACGACGATAAATTATTCTACCGAGGGTTGTAAAAATATTAATTTTATTGCCCAAGATAATTACACTTAAACATAATCGGCACATTCAAGGGCAAAACGGACCTGCCAAGCCCGCCTCCAACAATGAAAAAGTGAAGAAATGACACATGTGGCAACAGGAAAAGATGCTACATTTGTCTGAAAAATAAAGGTATAAAACAGTAACAAATATGCGATTTATGCGAGAGAAATGTATGTATTGAACATTCGATAAGTCGCAGTGAACAGTGAATTGTGGTTTATGGTTTTTAAAATACCATTTTACCATGGCTTAGATTTATTACCCCTCACGATTACATTTAAAGACGTATAAGTACTGAAGGCTACAATGTAGGAAATGGTATTTAAAATATGAAAATTTCCATGACAGAACACTATTAGTGGACCTCTTACCTATATTTTTGTTTATGTGACCAAAATCACTAACATGAAGTATCAAAAATTGCTACTAGTATAACTCAACTAATAACTACTGAAAAAAAAGTGAAAAAAAAGTATCTGTATCTGCGCCATTAATTTTGTATTTAGATACAGACATTTTGTGCTTAAATTCGATTTCATCTAGATAGAGATACTAGATGCCCAAAAATATATCTAGATACTGCCCAACACTGCATATAATACTTCTCAAACGTTACTACTTTTGTCTCACTTTCTCTCGTTGCGTTTGAGATGGTGCATATTGTCTAGCATTTTAAGAGCGGTCCTAAAGATCTGCCAGAATGTTCGTACAAAGCAGAAGTTCTCAAACAAAAAACTGTTGAATTTGAAAAGGAGATGTTTAATGAAAAAAATTAAATTTATATTTTAAGTTAATGTTATGTTTAACTTTCAGAACACGGTTTGCTCATTTTTTTTTGTTTGTTGTATATTATAAATTATAATAAAGTCTGCTACAATACATAACTGTTTGAGAACCTCTGTCAAACTTCGGGTTTCACTCCGACAGACAGAGCTATGTATTTTCTCTCTCGCACATCCACTTAAATTAAAATGAGATAGGGGTTTGTTGTTCTTCTTTCTCACAGCATAACGTAAAGTATCGGTAGTGGAAAGAAGACAGAATGAGTTTTATGATATCATGAAAAAATTAAAACTGATGGACTTCACCTGCTTTACTTTCTAATCCAGGATTATACAGATAGGCTGTTCCGAAAAGAGGGTTCTCTTAATATTACCATAATACAGGGCTTACAAATAGTGGTTTTAAATTATACTTTTCCGTCTGTTGTCATTTGGCACTTTCGTGGGCAGTACCCGACTGCGCCGAAGTACCTGATGGATTAATCTCTCTGGAATGTCTGAACAACTCACAGTTCTCAGCCTAAAAGATAAAGTTAATTAATTTAATTTCATCTGTCTTCCATATTGATAAGGATATTTTGTGAAATAAAACTATGCAATTAAAACTCAGATAAATTTAAAGCCCTCTATCACAATACACGTGGAACTGTAATTTCGGTGCGAAAAAAATATTATTTCATTTATTTCTGAAGAAGATAAATAAACTATTTAAAACATTTTTCTATTAAATTCATAAAATTTTAAATTTAATTTTTTCTCAAATTTTCAATCACGCACTGTGATTTTGAAATTTATTTTTAGTTTTATTTAGATATATCTTTGAAGATTCACATTAGAGTCGGTATATGCTATTTAAAAAGTAGATTGTATATTAGAAGGCAAAAAATTATGCCAATGTTAGTAAAAAAAATAGTCCTTAAAACGCTTCAACGTCAGAAAAATCTTGTATTGCTTTAAGTTATGTCAGAATATTTTACTAATTGCCGTCTAAAAGTAGATTAGAAAAGATACCGCACTAAATTTCATAGATAACATAACCATAATATTAAATTATGACTACCTATTATATATTTTGTATCTGATAATTATCAGATACACATTATTAGAAGCTAAGTAATTTCAAATAATATTTTTTTTTGTAAAACTGTTCGAATGTATTGGGTTTAGAAGTTTTACTTTCTTAAATTTAGGAAAATTCTTTGCCTTTACGGGTCGTTAAACACAGTACCTACTGAATTTTTGTTCTTAAATCTGTCGTTAAGTAAGGCTACCTGGACGTCGGAGTGAACCACCTAGAGTATTAGTAAGACCCTCATTATCCATTTCTTTCATGAAATTTCTAAACTAATTGCTTATAAATAACTCATCCTCTTCGGAATGCCAAATTTTCGTGCTGTCGTTATTATTTATTTTTAAGCATCTGTTATGAAATTTGTTTTGAATATCAAAAATTCGTTGAAGGTTATTTCGACTGAACTCTCCTCGTCTTTAAAGTACAATAAAACATCCAGCTTTTTACAAAAAATACAAAATTTAATATTGCGATTTTCATTGAGAACCCCGATAATTTACAATAAAGATATATATGTAATGTTAAAATAAATGTAAAAAAGTGCTACAGGTACGTTTCAAAAGAATTTTTCCTCCACAAAATTTTGTAATGACGTCACCAACATTGTTACAAGGGCAGATATAAGTAATAACAGTATTGTTTTCCCAAATTTAGGTGAAAATCAATAAAATAAATCGACTGATTATTGAGTCACCCTCTATAAGCAATTCTAAAAAATATGAATGTAATGATAAATTACAAGTATGGACTCATCGTATTAGATAGGCTTTATTTGTCAAATTTTTGAGATGACGACAACAGTTTTTAGGGCGGTCATAAACGGATAAATTTTGATTAACGATTTACCAAAAATATTTTAATTTTTTTGTAAAACATTTGCAGCGAATTTCAACTGGATTGCTTTTTGACAGCCTAAATGTCAAATAACATAGATTTGTATATCTCAGACTTTGGATTACAATAGCTAGAGTGTAAGCTATAAAAAAACTCAAAGCTGTAATAAAAAAGAAATAATAAAAGTTGAAAAAACACCTTATGTTAGAGTAATCACAAACATACGAAACCCAAAACGTGGGAGAGTTATCTGACCAATCACAAGCTAATTACCCCCCCTCAGTTAAAAGCAGTCCTTCTTAGAACTGGAAGGTAATAAAAGGGCTACTTCATCCACGTCCACTTTAGTTGAATCCGAGTGTTCTGTTAGACGTCAAGTTGCCTGGCTGCATTTTAGTTTTCTGGTAGTGTCGTCATTCGTAACAAAAATGTAAGTAGTAATACACGCTTAGTTAACTAAATTAACTAAAAATTTAAATTTTTGCAGTCACCATGGCAAAATTTTCCATCAAGCTTTTACTGGCTATGGTATGTTTCGTCGACCACAACCGTGCATGTGAAGAAATTTTGGCTCAAGAAGTGCAACATGTTTTTACCACTAACAACAGATATTACTTCAAACAACCTTATGTACAACGGAAAACAACGAACTCGACGATAATTTGTTCTAATGTGGCTTCAGCGGCTTCACTCGATTACAATGTTGAGGAGAAACCCTATCCGCAGTATTTGGAAGTCACAAACTCGACAATATCACTTTTGCCATCACTGACGTTTGAAAAATTTCCGTCAGTCACAAAGCTGTTTTTGAAGAATCTCCACATCAAAAATATTTTGCCGGGGGCTTTCACTGGACCGAGAAATCTCCAAGAGTTGTACTTGGATCACAATAAAATGACGGAGTTGGCAAGTGGAATCTACAATTCTCTCCACCAACTGAAGATTCTGAGTTTGACCCATAACAAAATTCAGAAAATTGAAAAGTTTTCTTTGATGGGACTGGCTAAACTCGAGGAGTTGCATTTAAAGAATAACAGTCTTTCCGTCGTGGGCAAAGATCTCTTAGCCATGTTAGGAATGTTGAAATATTTGGACTTATCTGAGAATCCGTTGGTCAGTATTTACCCTGTAAGCCCCAAAAATCTACACGTGTTGAAATTGTCGAAAACATCGCTGAGCAAATTGAGTGGAAATTGGTCAAGTTTAAAAATTGACAGGTTGGATTTGAGTTTTAGCGACTTTGTTGAAGCAGATTTTACTAATTTTCCTGTAACAGAAAATCTGGATCTAAGCCACAACGAAATCGTGTCGGTGTCTCACTGCGAGTTATTAAAAGCAAGAAATGTGAAACTTAGCAACAATTATATTCGAGAGGTTAGTGGAACATTCGTAGGGCTGTCGGTTCTCAATCTGAGTAACAACAATTTGAGAAACCTGACCAACTTTTCCTTCAATAATACGGGAAAACTTCAAGCAGTGGACTTTAGTTACAATAAAATATCCACAATCAGGAAGAATGTTTTCCGTAAATTGGACACTTTACAGCAGTTGCATTTGCAACACAATGAGATTGTCAAAATTAATACCATTTTGTTGCAAGATTTGACGAACTTGAAGGTGTTGAATTTGTCCCACAATAAAATCCAGGACTTGCAATTCGGTACGTTTGATAGGTTGAGCAACCTACAAATTTTGGACATTTCGTACAACGAGCTAACTGATTTGCACCAATACACTTTTACCGCATTATCCAACCTTCAGTTCTTACATTTTGAGAACAATAAAATTTCGTCGCTAAACGAAGTTGATTTAAAACATCACTTACCCAGGTTACAGGTTGTTGATTTAGATAAAAATCTCTGGCAGTGTAAGGATCTCGTCCAGATTTACAGTGTCTTGCAAGCCATGAAAGTTATGATTGTGCCTGGATTCACTTTTGATGTTGAAAATTTCCGAGGAATTTCTTGCCAAAACGACAATGAAGTCACAGGAACTGAATATGACGTAGAAGCAACCTCGGGTGAAACGATGGTTAAAAATCTGCAGCAATCCTTGGATGAAGCCATAAAAAACTCTACATTGGTTAGATTTTTCAACGAAGATTTTGGAAATTCGAGCTTTTTTAAATTTTTGAACAATTACGAGGCGTCGTTGGAGAAACGCGAAGTTTTGGATGAGAAATACATGGAAAAATTAACATCGTCGGTGGTTCAAGAGGTACCCGAAAATTACAGGGATAAAATTTTTGTGGCTGTTGTTGTTGTACAAGTTATAGTTTTAGCGTTGTTGTTACTCGTCGTCTGCTTAATTTTAAAATATCTGAAACGAAGGAAAGTGGTGAATGAGAGAAAAAGTATTTCCGAGTTTTCCGAGTTGCAATTCTTTTAGAATAAGTTGTTTTTTTGTATGTTTTTATTTTGATAATGTAATTTATTAGTATTTTCATTGTGAAGCGTAAGCTAAAAAACTGTTAAGTAACATATAATAAATTATTATTTTTAAACTTGTGGCTTGTCAATATTTATTTCAGTGTTTCAGAGCGATATAATCAACTTTTTGATAGGTATAAATCTATGAATCTTTTTATACAAATCATAATCATAACGTCATGTCTTGTGATAATTTTATAGAAATTATATGCACCCTTTTGGAGAAACACGAAAATAGATCGTCCTGATTTAAAAGCATATTTATTAAAAAAACATTTATTTTATATTATAAATAAATGTTGGAAGAAAAATCTAAGCAATATTATGTTATTGTTCTGTAATAGATGGCTAAATCAATGTTGACTACTTAAGTTTATTCTGAAAATTTTTTTAGTTCAACTCTTTTCTCAAGTTGCCCTTATTTCCGAAAAAATAAAAGATGATATTTTCTAGTTAATTTATCTCCCTAATAAATGGCAAGCTGTTATCTCTTCAAATAATATATAGATATTAGAGTGGAGGTGAACTGGAACACCCGATATAGTAAAAGTGTATTGTGTTCTCAAAATTTTGGGGAAATATAATAAATCAAGTTTTATTTCATCAACAAAATTAATTACTAGATTTATTCACACATATTATGACATATACAGGGTGTTTATTTTATATGTCATATTATACACCCCAGAGACGACTTCGTCCAATTTAATTTTTTTTTAATAAGCAAACATAGTAATCACAGAAAAAAATGACGAAGATGTCAATGCCAAATAATGACAAAATTGAAAAAATTATACTCAAATTATTAATGGATCAGATTACAACGAAAACGAATTTATAATAAATGTTCAAAATGCCTGCCTCCCAAAATTTCGTAAATTTTTTTCAAGTGTTCTAAACGCTTAATTTGATGGAGTTCTTCTATTGGGATATTGCCTGGCGTAGAGACAAACAGCGGCATTAAAATTTTTGTCACACTTTCCCAATATTAATAACAGGCCTGTTTTCCGGAATTCTAAAACATTTTAAAGCAAACGAAAATTGAAAATATTTGGCTGACAGAAATAATTTGTTATAATTTTGGTTCTGATCATTGCTATCTATGCGTTCATTATTATTTAAAAATAAAAATTAATCAAAGCTATTTACGAAATGTAAAATGGGTTGCCTATGCAGAAATATTCAGGCGTGATAGATAAAATGAATACCCAGTATAATAAACATCACGGATCAATGATCACGTATAAACCATTTTAACCATATTATTAAAGAACCAACAATGTTCTTATAACATCCATTTGATAGAAACATAACCTTACATTTAAAAACTCGATCACGTTATCTCATATACCGTAAGGTTTTTTTTTCCGAACACAGGATAATTAATGTTAAGTTGGTTGCATACCTGCTTGTAATGGATTGACTTGGACTTTTAAAAACTGAACATAAAATGTGATCGAGATGTACCTAGGTTATGTCAAAGATATTGCCATTAACATTGGCATTGTCTTCATGTTAAGGTATTGTAATAAGTACAAGTTTAAAGAACAAATCTACTACTCCTCAATTATTACGAATCTTATGGATTTTATGTTCAGTTTTTAAAAGTCCTAATCAATCCATTGGGAGGATGAATATGCAACCCAACATACATGAATTATCGTATGTTCAGAGGAAAAAAATCCTCACGGGTTATATAATATGTGTTTACATAGATATGTGACAGAAACTGTGAAATCAGAAGGCCATACCCTTAAATTTATTACAAGGAAGCAAGAAACATGGAAAGAGTCGATTATCCTGTCGTTTGTTTTAAAATGTAAGGTTATGTTTCTACCAAATATTGGTAGGTACAAGAAGACATGGTATGGTGTGACTTAAACGGCTTTGTTTTTGAGAGAGTACTGATACGGCTATAAATAAAATAATACATAAAGGACATTTCCTATTTGTAAATGTTAGAAAAGGAAACATGCACTTAGCATTCTTGATTAAACCTTGTGTGTACAAGTAAAAATCACATCCATTTGAAAAAAAAATCATAATTTCAAAACAATTTATTTCAAAACAAGGAAAAAATACTCTTAAAAACTGCACTTCCTAATACCAAATCAGATTCATTTTCGGTGAAAAACTGACCCAGAAACCTCTTCGAAGTAGATTTTCTTCGGATCTTTCTGATTTAGCGCCCAACGGCCAAAGCAGTTCTTTGCTCTCATCAATTTGTCGTAAACCTTCATGTAATTGTTCCTCAACATTAAAAAGGATTTTCAAAGACAACATCTCGGACCTCCGCTGATTCACTTTCCTTCAGACGTACGTCCTAAGAACTCGAATTGTTGGTCCGAAATATATTATAATGTCCGTGTAAGACAAGTGCAGCTGTATGGTGACATACATCAAATGGGCCTTTTCTACGAAGAAATCCGAATAAAGGAATATCTATCTATAATGAAAAAAAAAATGGTCTAAAGAGTTTAGACAGTACTTCCCTCGCCGTCGGAAACGTGACGACTGCATGCATATTATGTTTTTTTTTTTACGCAGTGGATTTCAAAGAATTCAGTTTTGTGGTTCCTGAGTAAATTAATAAAATAAATTTACGCATTCATTAATTTTTTTGAGTAACCCTGTATATGCAAATCCAAAAAATATGAATGGAGTGATAGATGACAAGTACAGAGTCATCATATTTTGTACATTTTAGATATGATTTATTTGGCAAACTTTTGAGCTGACGTCATCAAGTTTTTGGAGGGCATAAGCAAATATATTTTGACTAAACATCTATTATGCTCTTTATAACCTTAAAACATCTGCAAGATTTCAAAGCATTCGGTTTTTAGTTCCTGTTTAAATCAATAAAATAAATTTACGCATTCATTAATTTTTTTGAGTCACCCTGTATATGCAAATCCAAAAAATATGAATGGAGTGATAAATCACAAGTACAGTCTCATCATATTTTTACAGTTTAGATAGGATTTATTTGGCAAACTTTCAAGCTGACGTCATCAATTTTTTGGAGGGGATAAGCAAATATCTTTTGACTAAACATTTATTATGCTCTTTATAACCTTAAAACATCTGCAAGATTTCAAAGTATTAGGTTTGGTAGTTCCTGAGTAAATCAGTAAATTAAATTTACGCATTCATTAATTTTTTTGAGTCACCCTGTATATGCAAATACAAAAAATATGAATGGAGTGATAGATCACACTCATCATATTTTGTACATTTTAGAAATGATTTATTCCACAAACTTTTGAGCTGACGTCATCAAGTTTTTGGAGGGGATAAGCAAATATTTTTTGACTAAAGATTTATGATGCTCTTTATAGCCTTAAAACATCTGCAACATTTCAAAGCATTCTGGTTAGCAGATTAAAAATTAAATTTCAAAATGTTGTTTTATAATTTTGATTTTTTTTCCAAAAATCTGGACGTTTCGGGTGAAAAGTCGATTCAGAGTTGTAAACTACATGTGTAGGACTATGTTATTTTATACAATTGAAAACCCATTTACTATGTACAATTTTGAAGTGACGTCATCGCATTAGTGGTGGGGATGATTAGACAAATTTTGGTTAGCGTTTTACCATCTACATGATATTCTTAATATAAGTACAAAATTTCACAACAATCGGTCGAGTACTTTCGGAGATTATCTGTCTAATAAAAATCCGGGACAACAGACGGACAGACGGACGGACAGACGGACGGACAGACGGACAGACGGACAGACGGACAGACGGACAGACAGACGGAAATGGGAGACCTATTTCTTCGTCTTCTAGGGGTCATGAAAGATCGAGAAAACGTAAAAGTAGAGAGTCGGCCGACGGACTCGATTACAATACTTCCTTTGCTTACGCTCGGGAAGTAAAAAGTAAGTATAGATAGACTCATCAAATTTTGCACATTTTAGATAGGATTTATGCGGCAAAATTTTGAGATGACGTTATCAATTTTTTGGGGTTGATAAACAGATACATTTTGATTAAAAATTTACCATGCTTACAATAACCTCAAAAAGTCTGCAGGATTTCAAAGCATTTGGTTTTGCAGTGCCTGATTTAATGAATAAAATAAATTGACTCAGTCATTAATTTTTCTGAGACACCTGTATAAGCAAATACATTTTGATTAAAAATTTATCATGCTTATCATAAGTTTAAAATATGTATCTGCAAGATTTCAAAGCATTCGGTTTTCCAAATTCAAATTTAAACTGCAGTTTTATAATTTTTATTTTTTTTTTCAAAAATCTGGACGTTTTGGACAAAAACTCAAGACGAAACAATAAACTACATGTGTAGGACTATGTTATTGTTACGAAATAAACCCATACGCCGCCCCGGTACGACGCCTGTGGGTCTTCTAGTATTTATACGTTCCTTCTCCTATGTACGCAGTATGAGTCATCGGCAGAGTGACGCGGCGTTCACTAAAGGCATTGATTAAATACATATAGATAGACCCATGCTATTGTTTGGAGCGAACAGGCCAAAGGCCGGCGAACAAGAGATGGCGTACCAACATTTGGCCGTCTACATTTAATAAATCTTCCACTCGATAGAGGGCGACGAAAAAAATGTGTAAAAATCTCATAGTAAGCATTTAGATAATTTACGTTGCCAGATGAGTCTAACACAACTTTGCCGTTATTTCTATTCGATTAGATTTTATTTCGTTCAAAAGTTTCTGGTAAATAAATGGAATTATTATAATGAATAAACAATACAAACAAATTATTACTTGTTATTTTAAATACTTGTTAGTGTTTATGAAAACATAAATAGTTATTAAAGTTATTCTAAATAGCTCAAATTTTACAGTACGAGTGGGATGTTTCAGGACGAGTAGGTAGCCGAGTCTTTAATTTCGAAACGAGTACTGCGAAAAGAGTTACCGGACGTATGTTGTTATGTATTTTATTTCATACTGTCAACATATATTTTTATTCGATAAAATAATTATTATTTTGAGAAAAAATCCAAATCGAGTCACTTTTTCTGACATCGTTAGCAACCGCTGTTTGGTAAATGTTTTAATTTGTTTATTTGTGCAAATCAGCATCATACACTGCGTTTCAAATAAAATGCACCACCTAGAAGGAGTAGGCGTAGAATGTTGAAATTTGGTGGAGAAGACTATTGCACGTAGACAAACATTTGATTAAAATTTCAAAGAAAAAATAAAATGTCTAACACAAGAAATGTTAATAATGTGTTAAAATTCCACGTGCACGAATACAAGACTGTATTCTTCTAGGCATGCTTAAAATGAGATGATCTATTGCCTGCTGGGGTATCTCATTCCAGGCATTTTGAATTTGTTGTAGACATTCTTCCAAAGTCTTTGGAGGATGTGGTAAATTGCGCAGCCTTCTATGCATTAAATCCTAAACATTTTCGATTGTTGATAAATCTGGTGATAGGGCAGGCCAGGGTAAGAAGTTGACGTTATTTTCGTCAAACACTCTTTAAGTTAATATGGCCACATGAGGCCACGCATTATCTTGTTCAAAAGATGTTCTTCGACGGTTCGAAAGATAAGGAAAAAGAAATTGATTTAACACGTTAACGATGTAATGCCGGGCATTTAGCGTGCCTGGAATGAACACTAAGGGAGTACTTCAACAGATGTGTATACCATCCCATATCATTACTCCAGGTGTTAGAGCGATATGACATCTCTGTACAAATTCCAGATTTTACCTTTGGCCTCAAGGCCTTCGAACACGTATGCGTCCATCAGAGTGCCACAAACAAGACCTAGACTTGTTCCTAAACATTATGACATTCCACTATTACAGCCATTGCTGCCTGTCTTGGTACCAGTGAAGCCTGGTAGTTTTGTGTTCTTGTGGTAAGGGAAGTTTGCAGTTTGGACGATAAGATCTCAAGCCAAAGGAACGAATTTGGCGGTAGATGGTACTCCTCGGATTCTGTGCCCAATTGCTGTCATCCAGTCCATCCCGACTGATCGTTATGGTTACCAAGGGTACTGAATAACACTTCTTCTTAGCAAATGATCTTCGCGTTCTTGGGTGACTCTGAAACGGTCGGTACCCCTGCGACGCATTTGTAGCTCTTCGTTGTTCCATTCTCGACTTGTTCTTAATATCGTAGAATCCGTTGGGCCGAGTCTTCTGGTGATTTCCCGAAATGGTAAACTAGCCTCATGCATCCCAATTATTCGCCCTCTTTCAATAGGTGTTATCTGTTGAAAATTACCTCGTGTGTGAACTCGTAGCATTTTTGCAAGCACAATAATGACAAATGTCAAGTAAAATTGCAAAAGAATCTTACTCAAGTATCTTTAAAACATAATCAAAAAATTAATAAAAATCGAATAACACTCGGTATATTATCTAAACAAGTAGTAGTTTTTCTTTCAAATTTTAATCAATTGTTTGTCTATATGCAACAGTCTTCTCCACCAAATTTCTACATTCTACGCCTACTCCTTCTAGGTGGTGCATTTTATATGAAACGCAGTGTATGTTTAAACACATAGTATAACACTTTACAGGACTTGTTGTTTTGTATAATCCGACTCGATGGACCAATGTTTTGTGCAATCCGTCTCGAAGGACCAATGTTTGTGCAACTCGGCTCGTCCTACCAGACTTTTTTGTAATCTGGTTGATACGACAATGTGATACCGAATTGTACTTTGATATTGCTCGAAGGACCTTTGTTTTGTTGTGTGCGAAATAGTAGACAGCGTTCGGTTTCGATGTTTAATACAGGACGGTTACAGAAGTACTAAATTTACATTTGTATTTACAATAACAGGTAAAGCAAAAGAGACCCAAAAAGGTCAGTGGCCGCTTCCGGAAATGGAACACTTGTCCTTTTTGGCTCAATTTTATCGGACTTGTCCGTTTTTTTGATTTTTCCGGACTCGTTCGAATCCAGTAAAACGTCAAACATGACATAGTATGAAGTAAAATAAATAAATTTTATGATGTAAATACAATTAAGTATATCGATAACTCGCTACTGAAAATTTATTGAAATATAATTTGTGTTAAAAAAAGATTTTTGTGGTTTTATAGTTTATTAAATGAAATTAAAATAAATAATATCAAGAACTTGTATTATATATTAAAAACATTCATTTTACAATTAATTTTACAATTAAGAAGATTATGTAAATAAACCATAAAACCATACAAAATTTTCCTGCAACCTCTATTCAAAATCCCAATTTACCAATAGGAATTAAGGCACAAAGATGCTTCACTGAATTTATTACCTATTTTTCAAGAAAAGTATGCTTATAAGCCTATAATCGTCTAATGGATTAAAACAACAAATAATAATCATAATTTGTTTGTTTTATTTGTTCATTATAATAATCCCATTTATTTACCAGAAACTTCTAAATGAAATAATATCTGGTTGACGAGAAATATTCGTAAATTTGTGTGAAATGGCGATGGATATTCGCGAAAGACCTCGATTGCAGAAGTATGGGTTTAAATAGAGGCCACCTTCGGGAACCAATAATTATTATTCAGACAACGAATTAAGTCATCACGTCTAGTCCATTGAGTGTCCAGACAAGTTACGCCGGAGTTATTTTGTACATAATCGCTGTAATAGTTATTCGTGTAAATTCAAGTAAGAAAATAAATTGTTGAGTTTACCCCATGCCGATTTTATTCGCCTGCTCAACTAACTTTATTGTATGCAATTTAAAACACATTTACTATATACAATTTTGAAGTGACGTGACCACTTTATTGTAGGGATCATTGACGAAGCAATGGAGGACCTACTGTTTCATAGCCGGGAAGACATTAAATTAGCCATATGTCAAATAGACTTAATTACCGTACATTTTTAAATTCTTCTCAGGAAGTAAAGTTTGAAATATATTACCAGCGCATAATAAATTATGTAATATACAAGTGCAATAAATTATATTACATCTGAGGGCGTAATTTTTAATAAATATTTTTTCCATAAATGTTCGAGATGATCTTATCAGGAGAGGATGAACCAATAAATTTTAGACTAAATTTGACGTCATTAACTAATGAAATCAATATTAATTTTAAATTCAATTCCATTCTACAATTTTCTGTAACATCCTTTCGTCAATACAGTGGACCCCTTGTTCAATTGTTCAATTTTGCTCAAGTCGTCTCAAATCATAAATAATTTCCTTAGATGAAGTCTTCACAAAATTTCTCTTTGTTGATACTCCCAGTTCGAACAAATCTGTTGATTGCATCTCTAATGTGGGCTTTTAACGATGTTTCTTAAATTAATAAATCACGGTATTTGGCCAGATATTCTTGTTAACAAGCGGTTACAGAATATATACACTCTTCGTTTACGAAGTACCATTGCGATAACAAGACATAACGATGAAAGTGTCTTGTTCAACAGAATAAACCATTTTCACAGTCTTCGCTTCCTAACACAAAAACAAAATTTTCGAACGCAACCACCAAGAGTACTGAAAGTGACTATTTTATTGTTTTGAGCTTGGAACAACGAGAACTACTGTAATTCCCACTTGAAAAACATTAAAACAATAAAAACGACGGCTTTAAATGACAGGTTACAAATGACACTAGACATTAATGTGACAAGTGAGAACTGTCATAATGATGCATAATCACGGGCATAATTTCAGCGAAGCGGGATTTTTGAAATCCATGGCCAACTACGCCCTTAGAATCATTTATAAAATTCCTGTAGGTATTTAACAGCACTAGTCTTAAAAAAAAAATCCAAATTTCTTGGCTTAAAACCGTGCACAATGTTATAATTGTCTGTGGAGACAGACATTTCAACTTTGTTTCGTATATTGTAATACAAATGATGACAGTACGGTCAAGAATTCGGGAAATTTAGTTAAGCCATTTTTGCAAATTTTCAGATGTATCGTGTCCGTAATAAATTATTCATTCATATTCACAAATATCAGTGAACAGACATTTGGTATTATGGTAAACACCATGTAAATTATTATATATAGATCAAAGGTCACTTGATTTCACTTACTATTAATAATTTGATAAAATGATTAATAATAAAATTTTTTCCTACCAGATTTTTAACATCTTGCTCTTTTTCTTGTTTTCGTAACTTTCACTCTTTCACGTGTTGTAAATATTATTACTATCATCATGGAGGTTATGTTTTTTTACACCTAGTAGTTATTCCAAACTTAATTAACACAATCAGCGACAAGATAAACGCACCAGAAATTTTGAACCGATACAGACCCAAAACATTTTTATCTCAAGATTACCTAATTAAAATTTATATATAAATCCAATTTATAAACACACTACATTGTTTGTGCGAAAGTCAAGGAAATAGCGTTTTTTTACGCACGAAACGAGTGAGTAAAAGTTATATAAGTTTGTAAGGTTCAAACACAATATTTGCAGTAGCTATGGTCTTCACAGTTATTTTCATTTTTCTTCTAACAACCGCGCAGTCTTTGGCTTGCCAACTCTTCGATCCAGACGAATCCAGGCCCTATTCGACAACTGTATGTACAAACATATCCTCACTTTCCGATATACCAGTCTCGTCAAAACTAGAAAATTTTGAGGAATATTTAGAAATAACTCAGTCCACGATTTCCACAATACCAAGGTTCGCATTTACGAGATTTTCAACAATAGATAAATTATTTATGACGCAAAATCATATCAAGGAGATATCGCCAGGAGCTTTCAATCCTCTTCTTAATCTTAAAGAGCTTCACTTGGATCTAAACGAACTGACGGAAATTTCAGAGGGACTTTTCAACTCTTTGAAGTCTCTCGTGATTCTAAACTTGGCTAACAACAAAATAAATAAAGTCGATGCAAAAGCTTTCATTGGTCTGGAAGTTTTGACTGAAATCAATTTAGAAAACAATGAAATTAAGGAAATTGAGAAACACATGTTCGATTCGCAGAAGCAATTACAACTTCTGGATTTATCCGGAAATCCTCTGGAACAATTCAGTGGTGAAGGTCTTTCCAGTTTAAGTGCTTTGATCCTTGCCGAAACAGCTCTAACTTCGTTTGAAGAAGATCTGAAACATCTTAAAATGGAAATTCTGAATTTATCATCAAGCAGTTTAGAAACTGTCGATTTCTCGCGATTTCCCAAGGTAGAAAAGGTTTATTTATCAAACAACAAAATTGTTTCTATCAGTAATCTAGAAAGTCTCGACTCTTCATACATCACTCTCGACAACAATCAAATTGCTACCATCACTGGCACCTTCAACGACGTTTCTTTTGTCACTTTAAATCACAATCGACTTGAAGCTGTACCCAATACACTTTTCAACGATTCAGCTTCTGTCCGTTTCATTGATTTGAGTAGTAATCTAATTGCCACAATTGAAAAAGACGCTTTCCGAAATTTAAGCGTGCTACAGATTCTTCACCTGGAACACAACAACATTACGGAAATTCACCCTAAATTGTTTGTTGATTTGTTTGAACTTAAGTATCTAGACTTATCGTACAATAATATCCAATATCTTCAATTTGGAATTTTCAACAACTTACTTCAGTTGAAAGTTTTGAACATTTCTGACAACAAATTGAAAAGTTTGCATGAAAATGGGTTTCTAGCTGTTATAAGTCTGGAAGAGATACTTTTTCATAATAATCAAATTGAGTATTTGGACGTTAAAACTCTATTTCAATATAAGGGTCAGTTGAAAAAGATCTCTTTAAACAACAATGCTTGGGACTGTGAAGATCTCGCTGAAACTTTTACAGCACTAATAAACCGTTCAGTCGTTCTGGATGGCTTAAGTGAAGAAGGAGAAAACTTCCATGGAATTGCCTGCAGCAGTAAGAAAGAAAATTTCTGGGAACAGTCAGAAATGAGTAAATTTTTTAACGACGATTTTAAAAACTCCAAATTTTTCCAGTACTTCGAAAAAGATTATAAGTCGACTGGGTTCTTCAAGTTACTACACGATTATAAAAATAGTGACACTAGAACGGAGAAACTCGTATCAGGAGATGTTTCGGTAGCGGGTTCGACAAACACGATTCTTGTGTTTAGTTGTTGTTTACAAGTAATGATTGTGTTCCTCTTGTTATTAAAATTTTTCATAAAAAATAGACGTTACGACGCCCGAAGCAACGAAAGAAATATTTAAAGATAAAATTAATGTTTCATTTTTGGAGAGTTCAAACGGATAACGATAAGTGTAAATAAAAATGTTGTTTAAATTTATTTGTTCTGTTAATTATAGAATTTAGTTAAATAAACAATGTTTAAAAATCATTAATGTCCTTGTTTCTCTATCAAGAAAAGTGAGATAATTTAAGTAAATATCGACTGATAAAAAAAACGTGTGGCATGTGATTGTCACATAACGGGTGTTCAACTGAAAAGTTATCAGTGTTTTTGGTTTTTGGTCAAGAGTTACAACCGGAGTGGTGTTGAACTACTGGGTTGATTGTTATAAAAATTTAAATACATTTTAGGAATGTCGTGCTGTAAACGGTAAAAGGCCAAACAATAATGTACTTTTGTACCGGTGGTTCATGAATCCACCTCGACTTTAACCTTAAACACCCAAAGTTTTGGAAATGAATTAAATTATATAACATATATTGTAAATAGCTATTATTTTATAATTAATATATAAGTAATATAATCCATAATAGTACTATTTCCAAATTAATTACAATTTTAAAACGAGCGGGCGGCGCACATTTTTTTTTAATTAAAACTCTCTTTCATGTTTTATTGATTTAAAAACGAGCCATCTCATTTTCTCGAATACGCTCGACTTTATAACAATAAAATAATGACAACGTACGAATTATAATAATAACATTCACAATATGTTGTTCAATTGTGGCTTATTAATAATTTTAGTCATTCAAATCAAACGAATGTCTACGTGACATTCTGCGGATGTATAAACATAAACATTTTAAGCACTACGCATATTGCTGATAGACCACTTTTCCCGTCGGTAATGTGCTACTTTACTTGTGCAGAGACGGTTTATACGGATATGCTTGTGAGGCTGGACCATCAGACCCCTAAAGTGAAGGAACCCTTTCTGGCCAAATCTAACGGAAAATAAAATGTATTTGTTTTTAATTTGGTTATTACAAAAATACGATTTCGTCTTCAACTGACCGTTGACACATATGATTCCGAGATTGTGTAAGATGCAAAATTTGCCACTTCCGGGCCTTCCAGTAATTTATGACTTGCAACCAGTCAGCCACCTGCATAAAGAGCTGCCGCCTCAGTTTAGTTTGCAGTATCGTTTCTCATTCTTATTTTGCTTCTGTTTAATAATTTAAAGAGTGTACCGCACACTTTTGAAATTACTGCATTTGCATTCATATTTTTTCGGTTTGCTTATGCGACGCAAAAAAATTAATAAATGACCCAATTTATTTTGTTGATTGTTGATTGTTATTTTTATTTTTGTTGTTGTTAACACAATAAACAAATAAAACAATAATACAAAATTTTCTGAATCGCAAAACACTTTGGTAATAGAGAAAAATAAAATATTTATGATGAGAGTCAATATTCTACATTCCTCTCTCAAACATTTCTTGCAATTCAAATCTTTAGTAATTCGAAAAAAAAGTGTGAAATTTACCCAAAATTGCCAAAAAGTCTTGGGGTGTATAAAAAAGCGTCATGAAAGTTATTACCTGCTGATTAAATTAACCATATAAGAAGAAGAAGCAGGTCATCGCTTTTTCAACGAATCGCAGTAATGATATGTTAATAATAGAAACTCACTAAAATTGACTGGCACTAGCAACATAATCTCATAAAATATTTTGTGCAATGTGTGCATTTATTCCGTTTAATTTGTCCGATACTAATCATCACGCTGGATACAATAATTTAGTTTGTGTTCAGTAGTTTCTGATTGAAGTAGCGTGAGTAAAGCTAGCTTGACGGGCTTGCAAGACGTGTCAATGATGCCGTTGGAGGTGTTTAGGAAGACGAGCTGCTCGAAGGGCTTCATCTCGGGCGTCCTGGATACAGTCTGGGTATGGTCAGAGATGGCTTGTGTGACGGGCGCTCGCGCACTACAGTCATGAATTTCGTGGAGGGATTCATGTGCTGTACCCAGCATCAATAAATTGACCAATAACTTTGTGCATTTATTCGGTCTAGTTTTTATTACAATAATTACCACATTGGATAAAATGATTTACTTTGAGTTGTTCAGTGATTTCTGCGCTAATTCCTAAATACGATTTTTAAAGCTTTTTACAGTGAATGGGAGGGATGCAAGGATTTGAAGAAAATACTGACCAATTGTCCTTATTTTGTTATTTTAGTAAATGTATTTTTTTTGTAAATTTTTGTAGGACCGGGCCGCTGTCTACTTAACCTTCTTTTCACTCAGAGTGAAATAATTTTTACTAAATAATGTTTTCATTAATTCTTCATAGTAAATTTATTTTGGAATAAATGTTGTTCTGTTTAAGTAATTTTAAGTACCTACGTAAGTACATCCCCATAAATTTCATTTTGTTTATTTGACATGTGTAATATTTTTAGTCGCCAAATAAAAGTTATGTCCGCTCTAAATGATTGTAATTATTGTAATAATTGATTTATTTTATACTCGTAAATAACTCAAATCTTATAAATGTAGTTTTTAAATTCAAAATATACATCTAAATTGACGATAAAGCCGCACATTGATTTATGTTTGTTACATTCGATTATTAGGTCAATAAGTTAAGGATATGGTTGTTTAGAGAATCGTCGGTTTAATATTTGCGAGTTTTTGCAACTCAAATACAACGATAAAAGTTTTATAAAATTACTGGAAAATTGAAATCGCGGGTCATGCACTCCATGTTTATCACAAGATGTTTTAACATTAATGTTCAGTCAACGCTAAATATGTTGTGTGTGTAGATGTACGAAGCACTGCGCAAGTTCACAGTAAGTTTCCTCTAATTTCTCATTTTATGTTCAAACTATCATTTTTAGCACAAAATGAAAAACTGGCACCAAGTTTTCGTTATAGCTGCTCTAATTTCACATAGCCACGAATTATGCAAAGTTCATATTAATACATTGAACTTTTTGCAATACGATTATTATGAGGACCTCAATGACACCGACTTTTTGGATGAAAGAATTTTAGTGGTGTGCACAAACATATCGTCTATCTCTTATATCCACCAACACATTAATTCTTCACACAGTAAGCATTTGAATATTACAAGTTCTCACATTCCCACTATTGCACCACAAGCGTTCGGCAAATTCCCAGAATTAATCAAATTATATTTGAGTAACATTCACATTAAAACGATATTAGAGGGAGCATTTGATAATTTAACAAAACTTGAAGAACTACATCTGGACCACAATGAAATAGTAGAAGTGAAGAGCCAAGTTTTCAAAGATCTGCATCAACTGAAAGTTTTATATTTAGATAACAATAGAATCGTAACAGTGGATAAAACTGCACTTTTAGGTGTTGACAACTTGGAAGTGCTAAACTTAAAAAACAATCTGATTACTAGAATAGAAGAAGAACTTTTAGTGAAACAGTTACGCTTACGAGAACTAGATCTATCCGGAAATCCTATAAAAAATATTAGTCATATCTTACCCACTTCTTTGCAACGATTATATTTAATGAAAATTCCTTTATCTGAAATCAATTTTAATATTTCATATCTAACACTCGATACACTAAATGTGAAATACGGCCAGCTTTCTAAAATTGACTGTGCTCTTCTTCCCACCACGAGAGTATTAGATCTGTCTGACAATAAAATTTCAACTATAGCCAATCTGCAATTCCTTCGAGCCTTAAATCTAAATTTGAAAAACAACAACATTCGAATGATAGATGGGGTATTTCCTAGTACAGTTTCAAGTATCCAGATCAGTGGTAACAAGTTAGAAACTCTTGAATTACCTTTCAATAAGTCCAGAAAACTTCTCCATTTACAAATTAGTAGCAACAAACTTTCAAAAATAAATCAAAACGCTTTTGAAGGTTTGTCAGCACTCCTTTCGTTGACCCTTGACAACAATAACATAACCACAGTGGAGAGAGTATGGTTTAAAGATTTAATATATTTGGTTAACCTCAATTTGTCTCACAACAATATTGAACAATTTAAATTCGGGACATTTGACTCTTTGAAAGATTTGGAAATTTTAGATTTATCATACAACAAGATCACGTCCCTTGATACTTTACATTCACTGAATAAACTTACTAAGCTTTACTTTGATGGTAATCAGATTTCGAACTTGAACATGGAAGAAATGAGAATGTCGTTCAGACGATTACAATTACTTTCACTAGACAAAAATTCCTTTTCGTGTCAAAAACTAATCAAAATTCAGCATCAATTAAAATATTCGGGTGTAGTTATTAAGCACGGTACAAGCTATCACAGCGATCACTTTCACGGGATTTTGTGTAACAACAGCAAAAACAATGATACAAGTGTGTCGAGTAAAGTTTTGAAGAACGGTTCTGTAAAGCCATCAGGATTTCCAGATTTCTTCAACGGTGACTTCAACAGAACGAAATTCGTTCAGTTTTTTGAAGACGGTTATAGAAGTAGCAATTTTTTCAAATCGTTAAATGAAACGTCCAACAACGGTTTATTAATATTTAGTAGTGTAATTCAATTGATCGTGTCAATTTTGTTACTAGTTTTAATCGGATTTATATTTTTCTATTTCAAGAAGGTTAAGACTGGTTATAGATCTGACAGCTCATCACTAATGGAATTAACGTAGTGAAAAAATAAATGTACTTTTGACAATGTTTTGTTTTATTGAAAGACAAATCCACTGTTTCTCGGCCTCCTGGTAATGTATATTTTATTATTATTAATAGGACTCATCACTGACACCGAAGTGACCGGCATTCAGGCAAGACTTCTAACAGTACGGGTATTAAGACCAAGTAATGATTTACATCGTAACTACCGATCATTTATCCGCGCATCACTTGAAAAGTGACCTACACTAGTCTAACCTACTGGTGCTAAACTATTTTGGCTGACATGACCGAGAAGCTTATGAACATATGACATGTTTCTAGCAAAACAGTTCCCTGCATTTTGACAATTATTGATTTATTTAGTGTAAATATTTCAAATTCGCAACTAAACTATTTAGTACTACACCTACATTGGAGATAACTAAAGGTAGATTTGAAATTTTCTCAAGATTTATCATAATCTTCACTTCTATTGATACTAATTGTAGATAGGTAGTTAGAAATTTTGGTGTCGAAGACATTTTCTTATTGATGAGATTTTCGTCTAGGTTTTTGAAGAATTTTCCATGCAGCCCACTTATTATGTTGTCTAGTTTGTGGGATGTGGGGATTTCTTCGGTATTGGATAGATTTAATGGTATGTGGTTCAAGTCTTCCCTTGCTAGAGCACGAAATAGTTCCTTTCTTCCTGCGCATCTCGGAAAATATTTCTTCAATTCCAAATCTTGCCTTTTGTATAAATTTTCCAAGTTTTGGAATCCTCTTCCTACGTTTTGTCTTATTAGAAGGGTCTGTTGCAGAACACGACGGTGATAAAGGTTTTATAAAAGAAGAAAACAGCAGAAGAGACAGAAGTTGAACTTGAAGATAAAGAAGCAAAGAAAAGTCAACACTCAACAGGGCGATATTTAAGAGATCGTTCGACTCTCGAAAATCCAAAATACATTCAAGACTTCGTCATGACAGCAGAGAAATCTGTTATTGGAATAGAAAATCCTGAAACATTTGAAGAACCCGTTGATAGCAAAGAGGGTACTAAGTGGTGGAAGCCATGGAAAGGGTGTCAAAGCAATTATGTGTACATGAGTTTTTTTGAAGAGAAATTCAGATATGTAGTACCCTTGACAAATATAAGGCAAGACTAGTTGTCAAAGCCTTTAGTGAATGTTATGGCATCGACTACACTCAACTTTCAGTCCTGCAGCAAAATTAGGAACGATTCGTTTAATTCTGAGGGTTGCTGCAACAGAGCAGATGGATCTTGTACAGTGTGATGTCTCTACAGCCTGTCTTTATAGAGAATTTGATGAAACTATCTACATGGAACAACCGGAAGGATATGAAGACGGCACAACCAAGGTCTGTGAAGAGTATATGTGGACTCAAACAAGTCCCAATATGCTGGAACATAATTTCTTTCAAAATTAGGATTCAGGATCAGTGAAGTTGATCGGTGTTTGTATGTTCGAGTGAAAAAAGGCAAAAAGCTCTTTTAGTTGTCAACGTAGATGACGGGTTGACTGGAGCAATAGACCCACAAGACTTGGAATATTTTCTTGAAGAGCTTAAATTAGAATTCAAGATTTTCTCAAAAAAAACTAAGTATTTTTTGGGCTTTGAAATTGAAAAGGAAAGTGGCAAAATTAAGATAAGTTAAAAGAGCTGTGCAAAAAAGATCCTTGAACGCTTTGTCTTTTTATAATGCAAGCCGATTTCAACACCAATGTTGAAGAGTTCAGAAACATCGCACACAGAGAAAGATAAGGTCAAGAAGGACAATTTTCCATGTAGCCAAGCAGTTGGCGCTTTGATGTATCTGATGCTTGATATAAGACTAGATTTGGTTTATAGTGTAAGATTCTTGTCAAGGTCGCTAAAAAATCCTTCCACAGATGACCAAGCACCAGCTAAACGAGTATGCCGATATACTGCAGAAACTATAGATCTGGGGATAGTTTACAACAATAACGCAGAAACAGGCAACTTAGATAAGGCAAGAGTAATTGTTAAATATATAGGTGGAGCAATTACATGGCTCAGTCACAGACAGGCGCTTGTGGTTTCTTCAACAACTGAGTCGGACAATGTAGCATGTAACGGGTTTTTATTTTCCCATGGCAATTGATTTCAGCTGATATTTTAGGTCCTCTTCCTCATAGTATGCAGGGACATTGTTATAAGCAGCCAATGAAGCAACCAAAGAAGTTATTCGATTCAACAGATTACTCAACGAAATTTAAAGGTTGAAAAATGTTCTAATTCTTCAAGTTGACAACTCTGCAGCGATGAGACTGGCCCAAAATTCAGAGTTTCATCACAGAACAAAACATATAACCATCAAGCACTTCTTTAATCGAGAGAAAGTGATTGAGGGAAATCTGGACATTCAGCAAATATCAACCAAAGAAAAGGCTGCAGACATAATGACTAATAAGCCGTTACCCAGAATACGATTAAGAATTGTTTGTAATCAGATGGAACTCAGTTAGATTGGTTTTCTTTTTATTTTGTTAGTGTTGGAGGTGGCAACCAATCTATCATGTTTGAAGTTAACAGTGTGATGAAACACTGCCATAAATAAGCGTTGTTATTTAGGAACTTTATATTGTCAAGTTTTTTTCTCCAGATTAACAAATAATCACAAGATAGCGGACCGAGCGAATTGCCTTGAAAGATTCCTCTTCTGATCATTATTGGATGTGATTGAATTGTTTAATCATTTAAGATTATTTGGAGAGTGGTTTTCCAAAATTCCATTGAATATTTGAGAACAGCACATATTTTAAGATTAACTTTGAATAATTCCAGATTTTGGATAGCCACGAATGCGGTGGATCTCTTTAGATGCTCTCATTAAACGGTGCCTGTACTTTTGCTGCAGCTGGGAGCCATCTTCTGTAATAATTTACCATTCATAAAAATCTTTGGAGTTGTTTTTGCAATTTAAAAAAAAGTGAAGAAGATATTTTGAAATTATTGTTAGATGGCAATTAAGGTCAAGCACTCCTTCTTTGCCCAAGGATGTTCTAATATTTATTAGTGTGCAATTACCGTTAAAAATATGCCATCTCTGTAGACGTCAGAAGTATTCCACAGGATCACGATAAGTTTTTAGTATTGTATTATGAGAAAGCTGTAATTTTTAGAACAAAATGAAAAGATGCCATCATTTTCTCTTTGCAATGGTACTAATTTCACAAAGTCACCAATTATGCAAAGTTCGCCGTTTACCATTATACAACCAGCACTCCATCTATGTTGAACTCGACAAGACGGAATCTTTTGGTGAAAGATATTTAGTCGAATGCGCAAACATATCGTTTATCTCTGACATCGATCAACATATACATAAATTTGTCACTCCATTATAGGCATTTGAATATTACAGGTTCTCACATTCCCACTATTCCTCCACAAGCGTGTAACAACTTCTCAAGACTAATTAAGTTATATTAATATACAATACTGGAAGGAGCTTTTGATATTCTAACACAACTTAGAGAACTGCACCTGGACCACAATGAAGTAGATGAAATGAAGAGCCAAATTTTCAACCAACTGTATCTACCAGAAGTTTTAAATTTAGGTAACAATAGAATTGTAACAGTAGATAAAGCTGCATTTTTAGGTGTTGCCAAACTGGAAGTGCTAAACTTAAGAAACAACCAGATTACAACATTAGAGGAAGAACTTCTAGTAGAACAACTACACTTAAAAGAACTAGATCTATCTGGAAATCCTATTGCAAATACTAGTGATGATATCTTACCCACTTCTTTGAAAAAATTATACCTAAACGAAACTTATCTATCTGAAATCAGTTTCAACATTTCATACCTAACACTCAACACACTAAATATGAAACGGAATCAGTTTTCTAAAATTGATTGTGCCTTTCTTCCCTCCATGAACGAGTTAGATCTGTGTGACAATAAAATTTCCACTATAATTAATCTCAAATTACTTAGAGCTTCACAGTTAAATTTAAATAACAACGACATTCGAGTAATAGACGGTTTGTTTTCTACCCCACTTTAGAATATTCAGATCAGTGGTAACAAGTTAACAACCTTGAAACCGCCATTTAACAAATCCAGAAAACTTCACTATTTAGATATCAGTAGTAATAAAATTTCAACAATAAATCCAACTGCTTTCTAGGGATTATCAGGACTCCTTTCGTTGAACCTCGACAACAATAATATCACTGATGTGGAAGCAGGATTGTTTAAAGATTTAGATTCACTGAATAAACTTAATTTGTCTCACAATAGTATTGAACAAATTAAATTTGGGACAATTGATTATTTACCATATCTGCTGTTTTTAGATTTATCGTATAACAAACTGATATCCCTGCACCCAAATACTTTACGTTTGTTATCAAATCTTAGGGAACTGTATTTTGATAACAACCAGATTTCAAGTTTGAATATAGAACAAATGGAAACGTGTCTTCGCGGACTTCAGCTTATTTCTTTAGACAAAAAGTCCTTTTCTTGCCAAAATTTAGTCAAAATTGATCGTTATTTAAAATCTTATAGCACAGTTATGAAACACGGAACAACTTATAAGGGTGAAAATTTTCGCAGGATTTCGTGCATCAACAACAAAACCCATGCTTTAAGTCTCTCGAATGAAATTCTGCAGAAAGTTATCAACAGTTCTGTAAAAAAATCAAAATTTGACGTTTTATTAAACGGTGATTTCAATAGAACTAGGAATGTACGGTTTTTTGAAAACGGTTATAGACGTAGCAATTTTTTAAAATTATTAAATGAAAGACACAGCAACAGCGCATTAATTTCATGTAACGTAATTCAGGTGGTTGCGTCACTCTTGTTAGTAGTTTTAATCAGTTTTATGTATTTTTATTTCAAGAAAGTTAAGGTTAATTATGCTAGGCAACAGTAGAATTGTGACAATAGATAAAGCATCACTTTCGGGTGTTGACAACTTGGAAGTGCTAAACTTAAGAAACAACCAGATTACTAGAATAGAGGAAGAAAGTTTTGTGGAACAACTACGTTTAAAGGAACTAGATCTATTTGGAAATCCCATTACATACATTGGTGGTATCTTACCTCCTTCTTTGGAAAAACTATAAATCTAATGGAAATTTACTTATCTGAAAACAATTTTAACATTACATACTTAACACTCCAAACGCTAAATATAGAACGCAGCCTGATTTCTAAAATTGACTGTGCTCTTCTTCCCGTCATGTGGACGTTAAATCTCCCTAACAATAAAATTTCAGCTATCTTTAACCTGAAATTTCTTCGAGCCGTAAATGTATATTTGAGTAACAACCTCCGTGTAATAGATGGAGTATTTCCTACCACAATTGAGCGTACCAGTATTAATGACAACAAGTTAGAAACGTTAGAACCGTCATTTAACAAATCCAAAACACTCACCGATTTAGATGTCAGTAGCAATAAAATTTCAACAATAAATAAAATCGCTTTCGAGGGTTTATCAAAACTCTATTCGTTGAAACTCAACAACAATAACATCACTAGCCTTGAGGCAGTATGGTTTAAAGATTTAAAATCTTTGAATCAGTTTAATTTGTCTCACAACAATATTGAACAAATTGAATTTGGGACATTTGATTCTTTGAGAGATTTGTCAATTTTAGATGTATCGTACAACAAGTTAACATCCCTGCATTTGGATACTTCACATTTGTTAGCGGAACTTTGGAAACTGTATTTTGACAATAACCAAATTTCGAATTTGGATATAGATGCAATGATGTCGCTTAAGCACCTTCACCCCATTTCTTTAGACAATAATTCTTTTTCTTGTCAAGATTTAGTCAATATTGATTGTCACGCACTCGTTTCGGATTAATTAAACACGGAACAAGTGTTGACGGTGAGAATTTTCACGGAATTTCTTGCATCAACAGCGAAATCAATGATTTAAGTGGGTCAAGTAAAGTTCCGGAGAAGGCTATCAACAATTCTGTAAAAGCATCAAAAATTGATGTTTTATTCAACCGTGACTTCAACAGAACTGGATTTGCTCAATTTTTTGGAGGAGGTTATGTAGGGAGCAATTTCTTCAAATCATTAAATGAAGGATACAGTCACAGTTTCTTAATGTTTAGCACTGCAGTTCAAATGATTGTGTCAACCTTATTACTAGTTTTAATCGGTTTTATGTATTTCTATTTTAAGAAATTTAAGATTAGTTACAGATCTGACAGCTCGTCGATAATGGAATTATGCTAGTCAATATGTTACCAGAAAGAATAAATATACCTTTGATACATTTTTTTCCCTCGTATACAATATATTACATGTCATTAGGCAGACCAGCAGCAGTCAAAAGATGTGATAGAAACTACAATAATGAATAGTGAAAATGTTACCACTTTGTTTACTGAGTGACCTCAGACACATGTGTCGGGTAATAATCTTTAGTTGCTACCGTAAGGGTTAAATTGGGAAAGACGTTATGCGGTATCAGTTAATGACTGATTCCTGTTATTAGCACAATTTTTGAAATACACTAAGACTAAATTGACAGTTTTGTAGAAGTCGATTTTTGTATATTTCAGCAAGACAAATATCCGCAAACATGTTCTCAGTATTCGTTTTGAAAGGTTCGATCCACTCAACAATTACTTGCGGTCTATTATTACTGTGAAACTGAACTACTGAACAATAAAAATTGTTATCAGAATAATACAGATTGTAAACCCATTTTTATTATTTTATTGATACTTACCTACCAACTATTAACAAGAGCAGAGCCAAATTAAATGTCTGTTTTTAATTATAGTTCTTACATGTAATTTTACATATTTATACTTATAGGAAGAAAAACCGTAACAAAAAGACGAATAACAAATCTCAATTACTTAACACGGATGTCCTAATTTGCATATAGTACCATTAAAACATAAGCAAACTCGACCACTAATCTCCGAATGTAAGAACAAAATTCGCATATTCGCAAATTGCAAATATCATTGGGCTTGTCAGACATTACAAACAATATGCGTAGAACCGTACACCACAAAAATCGCCAATCGCAATTTTTTTCTTCCGAATTCGTACCAAAAAAAAAAACAGCTGCAGACGAAAAGCAGATGCATGAAAAACATCAAAGAACGTTGCCTTTACGAACAGATGCAACAGGCTGACGCAATGTAGCGATGACGACATGGGAACCATAAAGTAAGGTAGAAAATCCAATAATTTTCGACACAGTAATCCCATAAAAATGTCAGTAACGAAACCATATTCAAACGAAATTAAACCATATAAAACAGCGAAATAAGACCGTTCTGTGTAACAAAATCCCTATAAAACCAGTAGCGCAGGAAGTGATTTTCATTCAAGTTCTGAGTTGTAGTGGAACACGTTGTCCATTTCCGCACCGAGTTTTTTTTGCTATTTTGGCTGCATTTTGAAGAAATCCGAACTTAAAAAAGAGAAGAAGATAGAAAAATATCTCTGCTACATCTGTGTAAGTCTGCCTTTCAGTCATACTTATTAACTTATCTCGCTCTCCCTCTGCCATAATGTGTTCTCAAGTTCGGCCGCACTTATGAAGCGTTTAATTTATGCGTTTTAGTCGGGGGGGTCTTCGATACGTTTGGTGTGAACAGAGTTAACAGATGTTCCCGTTTGCGGGTGGTACTTTTGGCATTACGTCAGCTCTGGTCATCGGGGAGGATTTTTTCGATAATTTACCGATAACTTTTTATAAAAATTAATCCAACGTTTCCTTAGTTTACGGAGTCGACCTCTGCGTTCGCGACACGGATATTTCAGGTCAGTTTTTGGGAAGTTTTCGAATGGAAACCGTTTTAATTTGATTTTCTTGCATTCAATAATTTTATTTTAAATTTATTGGCGTTCAATATGATCCCGTTTTCTCATTATTTTGCCATAGTTTTGGGAAACCTCGCATTTCATTTTAGCGAAAAAAAAAAATTTGCAGATTAGATACCAAGAAGAGATAGGTAGAACGAAACCTCGGATATGAAGATGAGCAAGAGACGCGGAGCATTGGAAAGGAATGGAAAAAAATTGTGAAGGCAATTAGCGTATCCTCTAGACACGCAATACTCTTAAAAAAGAAACCCAAATGCAATAAATGGTACGACGCAGTTTGTAAAAAAGAAGTAGAAAAGGAAGGTATTCTAAGGCTAAAAGCATTACAAATAGAAACTGAGTAAGATGTAATAGCATATAGGAACCAGAGGAAAATGACAAAGATGTTATACAGGCAGAAGGAAAGGAACTACGAAAAACAAAAGATGCAAAAGATGCAGGAATATTACAGAAGGAAAGCAATACGCAATTATTATAAGGAAGTAAATAAAGCAAAAATGGTACGTCAAGTGAATCTTATCAAGGGGATGGATGGCCAACTAATTGGGGATGAGACAGGAATACAAGAAAGATGGATGGAACATTTTAAACATACACTGAATGAGGATGATAACTTGGAGGAGGAAGATCAGGAGGACAGCGAAGATCAAATTGAGAAATGCAGCGAACCAACTGAGGATGAGGTAAATGACATTTTGAATAAGCTAAAGAACAACAAGAGCCCAGGCGGAAATGGAATAACAGCGGTGATTATAAGGTATGGGGGGGGGACCGTATGGAAGAAAGAGTGTATGCCAAGAAGCTGGCAGAGCATTACAATAATCCCTCTCCACAAAAAAGGAGATATTACAGAATGTAATAATTTCCGAGGGATATCCCTACTCGATGTGGTTTACAAAGTATTAGCGACGCTCATGAAAACGAGAATGAAAGCGTCGTGGATCCTCAGATAGGACAATGGACCAGATCTTCAGCATGAAAGAAGTGCTAATGAACTGTTACGAATATAAGATTCCTATGAACAAAACCATCCCAGCGATGGTTTTGTTCATAGACTTTAGGAAGGTATACGACTCTGTGAGTAGGAAGCAACTATTTAAGGCGATGAGGGAATTTGGAGTATCGCCGAAATTGGTCAAGGATGACGCTGAAATTAACTACAGGAAGGGTGAAAGTTAATGGAAAACTGTCGGATAGATTCGAAATAAAAACGGGGCTGCGACAAGGTGACCCTTTGTCAACGCTGCTGTTTAATATAGTGTTAGAAAAACTTATTACAATGTGGAATTTAAACTGAAAGGGACACTTGGGTTTTAAAAACCATCAAGTGGTGGCATATGCAGATTATATAGCCATAATAGCAAGAGGAGAAAAAACTTTAAAAGACATCACCACCAAACACAAAATGAGCATATCAACCAAGAGAAAAGTAGCCTTTTAATAGTGGGAAATAAGACAGAACCTACAACGCTGGATATAGAATACAGGGGAGGACAAGCAAGTTTTAAGGAAGTGAATTTGTTTATTTAGGAAGTAGACTATCAAACAAGTGCGATGAAGAGAGCGACATAGAATGGAGATTACTAAAAGGGAACAAATGTGCAGGAAGGCTAAATAGGTGTATTGGAGCGAAGAAAATATCCAGAAGTATTAAGGAACGGGTGTACAAAACAATAATAAGGCCTACCGTATTATATGGATGAGAAGCATGGGTTCTAAACAAGAAACTAGAAAAGAAATTGCTTATGTGAGAGAGAAAAATCCTCAGAAGAATATATAGAGGGAAAAAAGTAGGTGAAGAGTATGAAACAAGGGAGAACAAGGAAATGTATGACTTATATGGGGAAACTGACATCTTGGAGGTAATAAAAGGAAGAAAATTGGAGTGGCTGGGGCATATGAAGAGAATGCCTGATACTAGGGTGGTAAAACAAATATCGGACAGACAACAAGAGGGAACAAGCAAAAAAGGAAGACCGAGATTAAGATGGAGGCAAAGAGTGCTACAAGATATTGAAGAAAGAAAAATCAAGAATTGGAAAAGAGAGGCAAGGGACAAGAAGATTTGGAACAAACTCATACAATTCATATGTATTCAAATGTTAGGAGCGTTTAATTATTATTATCGCTTCCCCCACATGCAGTTTAGCTCTCCGATTTCCAACGAAATGGGCCTACACCCAAATAAATAATTTTGTTAGTGTCCAAATGGTCGGTCGAGGTCAAAAACAATTTGGGTATGCGTGGTATGGTATGGTTGCGTCAACTAAGTACATATGATTTTGGAAGCGAATAAAATATGTTATATGAGTAAATTTCGTGAAAGGTTCACTTAATGGTGATAAGCGATAACTGATAATAATAGTATGAATATGATTGCGTTTTTTGCGTTATTTATTGTGGTTGTATCATACGTATTTATTGTTTATATTGCATTTTTAGGAAGTTAATTTTTTACTATTTCTATTTCGAGGGACTCAGTTATCTCATTTACAGCCCCTGAAAGCTAACTAAACCATCGTGGATTATTTTACAATAGTTACTAATTGATTGTTTCGTCTTACCCCTCATAATGATGTTAAAGAAAGTTAAGGAATAGGAAAACGACGTTCTGAATATAGTTAACTTGTTTTTTGTGTTGTTTTGAACATTTCGGTGCTTAAGTACTTATTGGATTTTTTTTTTTAATAATTTTATTGTCAATCAATATTTAAGTCATCAGTCGAGTTGGTTATATCAGATAAAATAATTATCTTAGAAAAACTCAATACTTTAACAATAATGTACTTTTATTGTCTTCTAAGCTTGTAGGTGCAAATTCCAAGTGACCGGATCATAAGTTATTAGCAGAACGATGAACGTTATAGATACTGAAAATTTTTTCAACATGTTAGTTTTAGGTTTAGATAAATAAAATGTATTGTTACGTTGATCGGTGATTAAAATCGGTGTGGGAAAAAGTGAACGATTTATTTCTTAGTAACTCAAATTTACACGACTAATCACACAGCGATTATGTATAATTCGGACTCGACTGGAATAGATTTGACTAGAGTCTACTTCTCCCATTGTCTGGACTGCACTGACTGCTCCTGACGGTGGTTCCCATTTAAACAGCACGCGGTCCTTCTCGAAAGGCGCCGTCACCGCTTCTAGGCTTGTTCTGGAGGCTTTTCTTTAGCGACTGCCGTCCAGCCGCCGTCACCGACAATGAGTCACCCATCACCGCCGCACATACCTACTATCTAAATTTAAGACATTTTTGTATATCTCCACTTCCCCCCGTAGCAGTTTTTGGGTTTTACTTTAGAAATAAAACCGAGCAGCATACCACATTTTTTTTATTTTAGTTTGGGAAACGGAAGTCATATCAGAGTGGCCCAGATTTGAGCTGAAACTGCCAGGCCAGTGTAATGATTGTCTTCACATCAAATGGTTGACCATCACGATTAACCTCCATATTATAATCGGAATTAGACAATACTAAATCTAAAACTGTATTATTTGTGTTAGCTACATCATTAAATTTCGCAAGATCAAGAAAATTCCGTTAGTAAGTACATATACTTAGTATTCTTGTCAGTATAAGATGTTACACAGAAGTCTCCAATTACTAGTAGAGATCTGTTATAAATAAATATTTCAAGTGTTTCAAAAAAGATTTGATAGTCGTTAGATATGTACCTATATAAAACAACAAGGAAATAGTTATAATAGACAACTGACATTTACTTACATCAATATTAAACAATGGTATTGGCTGAAAAATGATCTACACGTTAACAACGTTGTAGAAAATTTCTATAAATGACTATAGGGTTGAAGTAGGTCATGGAAGCGTACCGCCTATCACTTTATATGGACTTTATTAAATGCCAAGCACTCAAGACAAATACCACACTCATCTGTGTAACTTGTTGCTTATATGGTTCATATCTCATTAAAAAATAAAACTAATGCATTACAATAAAGAGACACAAATTTATTGTGATTAAACATCACAGTAAATGTTGGAAATGTTCACCATTTTCTTCAAGGCACATGCTCACTCTCTGTTAAATTCCATGTTGCAACAGGAACTCCTGATTGCTGCAACAATCGTTTCAAATCATCAACAACTTTCTCAGATACTGAAAGGTTTTTTAGGAAATTTCTCTTTGTCCACAATGCCTGTACGAACAAATCTGTTGATTATATCTCTAATGTGAGTCTCTAACGATGTTTCTCGAATTATTATCAAATAACGTATTTGTCCAGATATTCTTGTTTACAAGAGGTTACAGAATACACCACTCTTCGTTTACGTATGTCCCACTGCGATATAATATGACATAATAGTGAAAATATTTTGTTCAACAGAATAAATCATTTTCAGGGCCTTCGCTCCCTTGCACAAAAACAAAATTGTCGTACGCAAGCACCAAGAGTTTTGAAAACGACTGTTTTGTTGTTGTGAGCTTGGATCACACGTCAAAAACGCTAAAACAATAAAAATGAGTACTTTAAATGATAGGTTTCAGTTACAATAGTCATAATGAGGCATAATTTCAGTTAAGCGGGATTTTTGAAATCCATGGGCAACTACACCCTTATAACATTTATAAAAACCATGTATAAAACTGTATTGTTTGTGTTATACACCATTAAATTGCGCAAGATCAAGAAAATTATAGACGCGTTGAAGAGATCTAGCTTTAGTACGGGTAGTACTCTTTCCAGTTTAAAATGTTATGTAGAAATTTCAATTTATTAAGACAGATTAGTTAACAATAAATATTTTAAGTGCTTCAAAAAAGATTTCATAGTCTTTATAGATATATAGGGGGTTTACATAAAACGAGATAAAAATTTCTGTAGATAACTGACATTCACATAAAGTAATATTATAATAAATAATAACAACAACAAACTGTCTGCCAACTCTGAAAACACTTGTAGGGGTGTGGTGGTTACTCACTCTCTTGTTTTGTACATATTCGGCCAAAAAAAAATTGAAAACGTATTACTGTGCCTTTTTAAATATTTTATCTTGTTTAATTTTGACGTTGCTAAGCAGATTAGATAAGTGAATAAAGAGTTGTACCTATTATAGATAAAATAATATCACACGATGTGCCATATTTTTAAAAAGAGAAGTAATTAAAAACTTAGAATAATCCATCAAATTGGACAGAGTATATATTGCCTGATATCAGTAAGCAGTTTTAGTGCATGATACTGACAACAATGGACTAATTCTGAGTTCAATCGCCAATATGGAAGCATATGGTGATCAAAAACCAGAAGACGTGAGTTTTTATTTTTTACCTTGTAGTGATTTTTGTTCATTTGCTTTTAATAGTTTCATATTTAAATTTTAAGTTAACTTGCTAAAGATTAACATGATATACTAGCGCCGAGGTAAGTAGTTGAAAAAATTCTGGTAAACGATCATTTGTCCCTGTAGATTTTAATTTTGTTGTATACAGTCTCAAAAATGATTGCATCCTCTGTTTAGAATTTACATAAGAATGTATTAATTTTGTATTCAATTAAATCCTAAACTGTGTTTAAAAAATTGTATATCTTCGAAAACATATTGTTTATTTGATTTATTGATTATTCTGTTATCAGTGATAGTTTATCATCTCAACTAATATTTTGTTATCTGCTTAAACCTATATATTTTTTAGTATATAATTTTGATGCAGAATATTATTTTTAGAAATTCACGAAAAGATCGGGTACTACCAACAAAGGAATTGAATACGAAGACTTGTTAACAGCACTCTTGGCATTTAAACTTTCAGAAAATAATGAAATAAAGAATTTCAGTTTATCCACAAACAACAGTCAATATGGAGATTTTGACGACATTGTTCTTCAATACGAATTGGATAATGTGGATTCAAAACACACTTTTGTTGTTCAGATGAAACATAAAAATGAAAACAAAAAACTTACTTCTACAAATCTAGCAGCTGCTCAAGGGAAATTCAGCATTCAGAGTTATTTTAAGTCGTTTGAAACATTTCGTCATAGACTGCAAGATAATTTCAGCTGTGTACTTTACACAACGGCACGGTGCGAATTTTCAGAAAATTATGAATTTCCTTTAGAGAATTTTGCCAATTTGAAATTGAGGGTACGCCAACATAACTGTCTAGACGAAAATTTTCCGAACACATCTGCAAAGAGTTTTGTATACAAGTTTGAAATTGTTAACGATGAAGACACAGTCTCCGAATCGTTTAGAGATTTTCTCGATCACTTATTTCTGTACCCAAATCAGAAAGATGTACCGCACTTGAAAGAATATATTTCCACTGAGTTCCGGAAAACATATTTTTGCAAAGAAAATGAATTTTTGTGGTACACGAAATATATTTCTAGTTGGAGCGCATGTGAAAGGAAAAAAATGGTTTTAAACAAAAACACAACAACTGCGAAAATTGCAGAAATTCTGCTAAAACCTCATCTCAGTACCGGTTCTTTATCTTCAAAGGATTTTGACTTCGATTTGTTCTCTAAAACTTGTCAACAATGTGACATTGGTGTTACAAGTTTTGATTTACATTTCTCTTTATTCTGCGATGAATTACCAAACGAAGAAAAAAGTCTAAATATAAAAGAGAAATTTCAAATTAACTCCGAAAGTGAAGAAGACCGCGCTGTTATTTTGTGGCACATGCTGAAGAGCCCTCTAATTATTCGTTTGAATAAAGGTAACGAAAAAACCATTTACAAGGCTATTCGTTCATTTGAAAATAAGGGTAGTGGAAGAAAATTTATTTTAATTTCGGACTCTGTAGATAGAGCACAATTACAGAATTTTAAATTATTGTGGACTTTAGACGATCTATTATCAATTTGTGGTGAAGAAATCAAAGATAAGAAGATTGCCCTTCAAGGACGACAGTTTCTTCTTAAAGACATAATGTTCAAGAAAATATTTCAAATACTTACTATTGACGAGGTTCTCAAGCAAGACATTATTCAAGTTGGCGAAAACGCAGAAGAATTGCCAAACCCTTATATTGACCAGCGTCTATCGAAAATCACTATTAGCTTCAAATTCATTAATAATCTTGATGCTCAGAGCTTAGCAGTGATCAACTGTAACGGAAAGTTAGATTCAATTAAGCAACATATTGAAAATGCAAGGATAATTAAAGTAGAAAAATTTCTTAAAAACCGTTCTAAGGAAGAAGAGCATCAGTTTCTTTACAGAAGAACAATGGTAGTGGTAGCTAAAAATCGATGCTCACCTGAACAGTTCATGAATATTTGCCAAAAAAGTAAAGACAAAAATTGTTATTTACTCTGCATTAACAAGCAACTGAAACTGGAGTTGCTGGAGACCAGTAGGGTTATCGCAAAACCTAGAGGAGAAAACTTAGAAAGATTAACCATTAAGGAAGACGAAATGTTCGAGGACAACCATTATGTAAATGTCATTTCTGCTAAGCCTGGTGCTGGAAAGTCAGTTATGATGAAATACTTAAAAAATAATATTTCCAGTGATTACTGGATATTAAATATTTGCGTTCGAGACCATGTTAAATTTTACACAAGTACCACAAAAGACATCTTAGATAATTTTTTGAATTTTCAAAGTGAAAACATGGGTTATAACAGTTTAACTCTGAACATAAGACACGCCTACGAGAAAGAGAAAAAGATAGTTTTTTTGTGGGATGGGTTAGATGAGCTTCCAATGACTTATATACCGAAAGCTATACAAGTAATTAAAATATTATGTAATATGGGATATGTTAATTGGATTACAACGAGGGATCACCTACAACATTTCCTTGAAGAAAATTTTAGGATCTTCTCACACACTATTAACGAAATGGACCAAGATCTTCAAAAAAATTATATCAGAAAACAGTTTGAAACCAAACACGATCCTCAAGAACTAACTGAAGTCATTGAAAAAATTATCACTGTTATAGCAATGACAAGGGATGTAGCATTTTTAGGAATTCCGCTGAGGATTTACATGTTAACGGATTTGTTTTTGAAAAATCCTCAAACATGTAGAGAACTTCTCGACAGCACTTTCATTCTTCCTGACATTATTCATCACTTCGTTCAAGAAAAATGCAAGTTTTCTTACAAAGACAAAGGCAATTATAGCAATTTCGAAAACGATTTTATGCACAGAGCTTTGAATGGTAACACTCAGTATCGATTACTGCAATACGAGATACTGGCTCTAAACACCTTGCTGCCCAGTGAAGTCATTGACAGATTGAAAATCCACCACGAATTGTTAAATGATGTTGAACAAATTAAGGATGATTTTGGACTGCTGTCAAAAATTGATTTACCTTCTAAAACTGCAGTTTTTGTGCACAGTATTTATGCTGAATATTTTGTTGCTACTTGGATGGTCAAAAATCGTGATCAAACTGACATATTTAAAAGTTTTATGTTTGAGACTTCCTACAGAACCATTAGAATTATGTTTGATTTAATTTTAAGCAAAGGATGCCCTGCCCATATTGCCATCTTACACAGGGATTATAGTAATTTGCTCAAACACCAAGACGACATTAACTCAAAAGACAAGGCAGGAAGAACTCCTTTGCATTTAATTTGTTCCTGGGGCGAACCACATCCACTGTTGGAAAGTGAAACTAAAGATGATAAATACTTTTTAAAAAACACAAACAAGGCTAATTTAACTAAAATAGCTAGCACCACCGAAGAATATAAAAAATGTTTGCGTGTTCTGCTGGAAAACACACAGTGCAAACCAAAAGAAAAGGATGAATTGTTCTGCTGGGACGCTGTAGAGTATGCAGATCGTACCTTGTCATTATTAGCAATAGATATACTTCTGAAGTATCTAGAAATCGCTGTCAAAGATCTTGAAAATTTTCGGGACGAACTCTCGGTTTCCTACTATTCTATTGTACTGAACTACAAAGGAATTGTGAATTGTTTAAACAATATGAAGTACATCATAGATAGACAAACTGGTAATAATTTATTACATTTAGCGGTTATAAATGGAAGAAACCATTTTTTGAATAAACTTCTATCCATTCCTAAGTACATAGAAAATATAAATGAAAATAATCATCAAAGGCAAATAGTTCCAGAACTTGTTGTTATGGGAACAAGGATTATTTTTGAATCTAAGCAGAACTCTCTACATATTGCTGCTCAAACTGGAAATGTTGCAGCTCTTGATATACTAACAAAAAAAGGGGCTTCAATAAATTATCAAAACGGAATGGGTAATACTGCTTTACATATAGTTATAATGACTGGGCGATTACAATTAATACCATTTTTATTACACGAAGGAAGCAGCGTTAATCTACCGGATAATAATAATAATACATCTCTACACTACATTGTTCAAACGGGTGAACTGTCGATGATCAAGGACATAGTAGACAGAGAAACCTATATTATCAAAAACAACTTAGGCCAAAGCCCATTAGATCTTGCCACTATTCAGAATCGTGAAGATATTCTTGATCTTTTGTTGACTAAATCATTGCCAGGGAAGAATATATCCATTCAAGGATATATGCAAATGCCTCTTTCCAATGCCGTTTTTACAGGACAAGTGAAGATTTTACATTGTTTAATCAAGCATGGTGTAAATGTTAATGCTATGCTTAAAAATGTAACTATTTTGTGTATCGCTGCATTCCGTCGTCATATAGAAATTGTCGACCTACTACTGAGGAAAGGAGCCGATCCCAATATTCGAGTCTTTGGAAATATGAATGCTCTGTCCTTTGCAGTCATTAGTCAAAACATTGAAATTATAAAGCTATTACTAAGTCACAACGTGGAAATTTTTGATTCTGATCATGGTGGAAATACCTGTTTGATCAAAGCTGTTACAGACGAAAATAAAGAGATAGTAGATATGCTGTTAAAACATGGCGTTAATGTGAACGCACGCAATAATCGTGGTGCCAGTGCAATGCATTTTGCTGCAGCCATAGGTAACATTTATTTAATAAATACATTGTTAAAGTATAATGGTGATGTCAACATTAAGAATAAAAAAGGAGGTACACCACTACACGTAGCGGTCCTCTACGAAAGAAAGAAGGCGATAGAATTTTTAATCAGAAACGGAGCTGATTGCAGAATAGCAGCTCAAGGACTTGTGCCTTTGATGCTGAAGAAACTGCCTCTACAAGAAATAGATAGGTTTCCCCACTTTAATCGTCCACTTATGCAAGGTAAGGTTTTCTTAACCTAATACGATTTGTCTAATTAATGAATATTTTTTAGGTACCAATAAGAGTGCAGTGGTTCCAGAAATAACTATAAATTTCGAGATGGGAATTAAATCACATCCAAATCCATTTTTGTAATTGAAGTTTGGAGTTAACATCTTCCGTAATTGTCAACAACACAGGATCATATTTACTTAAGTAGAAACGTATCATGTGAATTGTAATTATTAACTGTATATATCCTAAGAAAAAGACAAGTTTAAACTCTTTGCATAATATTGTAAATCAAAATCACATATCGACAAATAAACCTGGTATGTTTTGGTGGTTGTGGCAAATCATTTCAATAATAATTGAGGATCTAAGTTGTGTTGTGACAACATACAACATACAAAAGAATTTTGCTCTATCAGGTCGAAATGACACATGTGAATTAATTTTTTTGAAATCCGCAACAAATTCAAAATTTAGCCTTGAACTGTGATCGTTACCAAAATGGAACCCTACGTTCCGTGTTTTTGTGTTTTTTTTATGACGGAATGCATTCAACTGCAAAGTGGTACATCGTTAGGTTGAAAATGTGTCCCTAAATTAGGCACAAAATATGGAAAACAAAATTAGTTTATTCCTCCATTCTCACAGGAGAAGTTGTGATTAAGTGCACTTTGAAGGATCCTTAGTTCCCAGCCACAAAACCCTCTAGCTTACAAAAACAAAAACCAAATCAACTGTTATACATATATCAATGCAAATATTTGAATATTACAAATTAAAAAAAAAGAAATTTGAATTAATGTAACTGGATGCAAATGGTCGAGTTGTTTTGATGGTGTGATGGAAAATTTAAATTTTTCGTCCTCGATGATTTTACTCTATTGACAGATATAACACACACTCCATATTTCTATGCCCAAAAAACTTGCCGCATATTATACTCTCTACCCGGTCTTCGCAAAACAGCAAGTTATTGCACCCTTCAAGCGAACGCGAGTTTTTCCATGAAGTTTTCAATTAAACATCTATTGAGCAAATGACAAAACCTTAAACTTAACTAAAAACCGTGCGTGCTGCTTTCGTCGTACGATTTTGTGCCCTTTTATTTCAATTAAGTTCAAATTTTATCTCTTTCGAATTTATAACAATAACTGAATCAGTATTCAAATTACAAAAAAAGCAAGGATTCATGACACACCCCCATCAACACTTTTAAACAACAAAAAATTTACTTGAGGTTATACTATGCCACACTCTGTCACAATTTCAAACAATTTTTTACATGATACTTAAATTATGCATTAATTCAAGTTTTGGATCAAGTTAAAGTGAAGTTGTTAAAATTGATGTCATCAGTCGGCTTAGTCAAATATTAATTAAATGCAGTAAAGAAACAAAAATAAGGCATGTTTGATGCAGATGTTCTGTTGTTCCAGTAATAAAATCCCCAAATTCAGCTTGTCAAACGGTGATGCACCAATAACAGCAAACAAATAGCATAAACTAATCCCAACATGGTCTAAGACTTATTTAAATGCCAGAAATGAACTTATATAAATCTCAAGTGAGAAGTTACGAAGTGTGAATAAGTGTTAACAATATCCCCGACATTTCACAACATTTAAGATTAGAAAACTAGTATTAATAATAACTAAATACGCTGTCTGGAGGTAGACTGCGACAGCGACGTGATTCATTTTCGTTTAAATAAATAGCCCTTTTAAGAAATTACAGGGTTTCTATAAATGATTATAGGGTCGAAGTAGGTGATGAACACCTACCGCCTCTTAGTTTTGGACCTTACTAAATGCCCAAGGACGCACGACGAATACCACACTCATCTGTATAACTGGTTGCCTAAATGCTTCATATCGTATTAAAAAATAAAACTAATTCATTACAACAAAAGAAAAACAAAAAAAAATTATTGCGGTTAAACATCGCACCAATTGTTGAAAGTGTTCACCATTTTGATCAAGATGCATTCTTTTTAATTTCAAAAATGTTCTATAATCCTTTCGTCAATGCCATTTGTTCAATTTCATGTTGCAACAGTAACTCCTGACTGCTGAGGAAATACTGTCAGAGACTTCCTTAGATACTGAAGGTCTTCCACGAGATCTTCCCATTGTTGAACCACCAGTTCGAACAAATTGGTTGGTTACATCTCTAATGTAAACCTTTAACGATGTTTTTTGAATTATTAAATCACGGTATTTGGCCAGATATTTTTGCTTACAAGCGGTTACAGAATACACTGACTCTTTGTTTACGAAGTCCCATTGTGATAACAAGACATAACAATGAAAGTGCCTTGTTCAACGAAATAAACCATTTTCAGCCTTCGCTTCCTAGAGCTTATTTGAAATCAGAAGTACATCGAGTGGGAGGGACGAAGCACGAAAATGGGCGAAAAATATGGACGAGTCAGTGGCGGACCATTAGCGTTGTTATTGGGGTTTGGACGTTGCACGCGTTCGTTTTCGACGCCGCTGATTCTGTGAAAGTAGTGTTCATGCGCACTGAATAGTGTTTCAAATACTGGTATCTACGCTCTTTTATTCTTCTGTACTTCTGATTTCAAATAAGCTTTAGTACAAACTCAAAATTTTCATACGCAACCATCAAAAATTTTATAAACGACTGTTTTGTTGTTTTGAGCTTGAATCAACGAGAGTTACTGTAGTTCACACTTGAAAAAGGTTAAAATAGTCAAAACGATCACTCTAAATGGCAGGTTACAAATGACATAAATGACAAGTGAGAACTGTCATAATGAGGCATAATTTCAGCGAAGTGGGATTTTTTAAATCCTTGGCCCACTACGCCCTTAGAAATATTTATAAAAGCCCTGTTTTTTGTGAAACAGCACAAAACAGTAACTAACCTTACTGCCTAGTGATTCTTCTAAGTACAGCTGTGGAGCTCTGACACACCTAGGCAAGTTTATATTTAAATACTGCTTGACCAAAACATTTGATGCTACTTTGGGAAATTTTCCGTTTTTCAAGTGGCGTCTTTTCACATATTGGTAATAATAATTTATTATCGTTCCACCCCTAAGAAGATGAAAAGGGGTGACAAAGTTTGTATGAATGCTCTTCAACACATTTTTTACTTCAAACTTAGCAATTCAACACAACAAATCGTCTACGCGAGCGAAGTCGTGGGTGAAAAGCTAATTCGTTCATAAACGGGTGATTTCGCTTCAGGAATAATGTTTTAAAGTAGTTCATTAATATTCAATTAAAGTTAAAATACCTGCTCAACTACAGGGAGATTTTGAAATGTGTGTAGTTGAAAAAATGGGGAATTTCTAAATGCATAAAATGTCGATCACCATGAAGTAATACTCAAAATGGGTTCTTCGCAGGATAAATGAATGATAAGCAGCAAAAAGTCGGAAATATTTTCAATTTTCATTTGCTTTAAAATGTTTTCGAATTCTGAAAAAACAGACATGCTGTCAATATTGGGAAAGTGTGACAAAAATTTTGATGCTGCTGTTCGTCTCTACGCCATGCAATATCTCAATAGAAGAACTCCCTCAAATCAAGCGTTTAGAAAACTTGAAAAAATAATTTAATTTTTGTATTTTTTCTTTTGTATACATTTTTCCAATTTTCAAATTATATTTTGACAAGTTGATAACTTTAAATATTTTATTTATCACGTAGGTTTGATGTAATATTGGTTGCATACTTCCAATACATTCGCGGGCGTTGAGCTTCGGTCCCTTGCCCTGCATGGGTAGTATTTTGAAATCATCATTAAAGGTGTGATTTTCCTTTATTTACCTTTCTGATGTTAAGGCATTTTTTGCCTTCCTAAATTAGTTCTTCGAATTTAGAAATGGGTTTTCAAGTTAAAACTTAAATTTAAAATAGTTAGTCAAAACATATTTTTTTATCTGAAATCAAGAACAAAATCAGCAGCAGTCCAAAAAGCCCTCCAGGGCCTCATTGCCTACAGAAAAATCCTCTCAACATATATTAAAAGAATATAAGTGGAACTAATATGTAGATTCCATCATCCAATTTATAAAAAAAAAGTTTAAGTTAAATTGATTTATATTTCATTATTTTATTATAATCAATTTTTCTCTATGTAACACATAGTTTGCAATTGTTACGACCTTGTTTTGTACTAGTTGATAACAGAAAAATTTAAAACATCGTATTCCTTTGCGTTTTCTAATATTTTATCTTGTTTAATTTTGACGTTACTATGCAGATTAGATAAGTGCATAAAGAGTTGCATTATACATAGATAAAATAATATCACACAAGGTATCACATTTGTAAAAAGAGACGTAATAAATAGAAAAGAATAATTCATCAAATCAGACAGAGTGTATACTGGCTAATGTCATTAAGCAGTTTTAGTGCATGATACTGACAACAATAGACTAATTCTGAGTTCTATCGTCAACATGGAAGCATATGGTGAACAAAAACAAAAAGAGGTGAGTTTTTAATTTTTACCCTGTAGTAATTTTTATTCATTTAGTTTTAGTGGTTTCATATTTAAATTTTAAATTAACTTACTAAACATTAACATGAAATACTAGCGACGGGGTAAATATTTGAAAAAATTTTGGTAAACGATCACCTGCCGCTGCAGTTTTTAATTTTGTTGTGTCAAAAATTATTACTGTCCCTCCTGTTTAAAATTTGCATAAGAATTTGTTCAGTTTGTATTTAACTAAATCTTAAATTGTGTGTAAAAGAGTGCAAATCTTCTGAAACATATTTTTTATTTGATCGTTTGATTATTCTGTCATCTGTGATAGTTTATCATCTAAACAATATTTAGTTGTTTGCTTAAACCTATGTATCTATTAATATATAATTTTGATGTAGAATAATATTTTTAGAAATTCAGAAAAAGACGGGGCACTACAAACAAAGGAAATGAATATGAAGACTTGTTAGCAGCACTCTTGGCATTTAAACTTTCAGAAAATAATGAAATAAAGGATTTCAGTTTATATGGAAACAATAGTCAATATGGAAATTTTGACGACATTGTTCTTCACTACGAATTGAATAATCTGGATTCGAAACACACTTTTGTTGTTCAGATGAAACATTATAACGAAAGCAAAAAAATCACTTCTACGCATCTAGCAAGTGCTCAAGGGGACTTTAGCATTCAAAGTTATTTTAAGTCGTTTGAAACATTTCGTCATAAACTGCAGAATAATTTCAACTGTGTACTTTATACAACGGCACGGTGCGAATTTTCAGAAAATTATGAATTTACTTTAAAGGATTTTGCCAATTTGAAATTGAGAGTGCGCAAACATTACTGTCTAGACGAAAATTTTCCGA